ATTGATCCACTACCTAACTATTAATCTATTATCCCTTGAGTTACGAACTTACGACCCATTTCACTTGTCCACTTCGTTTTATAAGTACGCTAAACTGTAAAAAGGTAAAAAGTTTGAAAATATATTAAAAAAATGCACATGTGAATCATATTTGCTTACCCGTATCTTTATCAATTATTTTTCATATAAAGATATGCATATGTAAACATTTGTTCTTTTATCAGTTATTCACATATGATTCATTTATTCACATATTCTCAATATTTTTACCGCTCTTATTTAAACCTTCAATATTTATCACTTGAAAGTTGAAAGTAGGTTCTAAGACTATAAGATATACGGAAACCCTTTTCTGTTTTAAGAGGTAAAAGTATTGTTTCCTAAAAGAACAACCATTTGTTAATTAAAATTTGTAACAAAACTACACAATGTTTATATATAAACCATATGGTTGGTAAATTTATGCCAAGTATTCTTACAAAAAGATTGCATGCAATAAATCGTAGAAAACAATAACTTAACGCGATGATTAATAGGTTGTTTGGGTTATGGACGTTTACATGAACATACGAAGATGATTTGATTTTAATCGAAAAAATAAGAAGTAAAAAAAAACATGAAGAAGCCGATCGTGAAAGTAAACTATTGAGTGTATGTGAAAAATACAATTAAGTTGGTCGTTTGTTTTACTCTAACCATTCAAGATTGTGGTTATTATGTGTAATTAATTTATGTATTAGGTTAACGGTGGTTTTAATTAAAATGAAAAAGTTTGGGCTAATTTTTTGTTTCGATGGATTTTTCACAATTTTCTACAAAATAATCAAAATATAGGAGTGTTTGGTTCTCGAGATGGAATTGGAGTTAATTAAATATTAATCGACGTTGGTTGTAATGGCAAGAACGATGGTGGCGGACAAGGGGTGGTGAGGGTGGGTGGTGGTATTTGTTAAATTTGATGCAAGAGTTAGGGGCTGTTTGTTTGCCTCTTAATGGTGACATTAAGAGGYAGCCTCTTAATCGGTAAGAGGCAGATGCTGTTTGACAAAAAAAAATAGAACCTCTTAATGGTGACAATTGGCTCTTAACCATTTTGCATCCACTACCTCACTAAACCATTCAGATGTCTATTTTTCCAACTATGCCCTCCCTTCTTCACATCGCATCCCCCATCCATCAGACCATCACCGTCTTTCCCCCTCCATCACCGTCTTCT